TGATATGAGTTAAAGTTATAGTCATAGTTATAGCTAAATTATCTGAATATTCTGTTGAGATCATCATGAGTCATAGGACTGTATGCAACAATGCAATGATTGAGACAAGAAACTTGAACTAGAAGCAGCAGTGGAAGAAGAAGCTGGTTCTGCGGCAGCATCAAATATGCCAGCATCCACAACAGCTTCCTCATCAGAATCGCTCTTTGCATCATCCAGATCCACGGTTGTAGCACGGCGCTCATAGATGTTCGAAAGCGCGTGAACACTAGAGCAAAGATTTTCAACGTCTCTGAAAGCAACCATGTCACCCTCACTCAGAAAGCTTTCCAAACATGGGTCATCCAACAATGATATTTTGGTTGGTTCTTTGACATCCCCTTCATCACACAAATCCCGTTTGGGGTCTTCACATTTGTTTAATTTGTTCTTACTTCTCTTTTTTGGGGGCTCTTGCTCACTGGAATCAGTTTCCAAGAAAGCCAAAAGGTCTACCTGGGCAGTTCCGTCAAGAGTTGGGGGGATCACAAAGTGCATTCGAGCAAGAAGACGAATGTTGATCACTTTGATCACCATTGGCAACATCACCATCAAGAACAACATCATGATCACCCTCATCTGCAATCACTGCAGCATTTGCGTCATCATCTCCTGAATCATCATCGTCCCCAATGGAAAACTCAACTCCAATCACCTTGACAATTGAAGGAAGAAAATCCTCAAAATTCTGCACGCGGATGTGAACCTTTCGCACTGAAAGTGTTGGATCAGTCAAGCTTGGCATATCCAAAAGGTATTCAACAAACAAGTCAGTGGTGTACATTTTCAGAGGCCCAAATGTACCCGGCTGGCGAGGCAAGTAGATTGTACCAGTTGGCTCAACGTGCTCTGAAGTGGAAAGTTCCAACATCAACCCCGCAAATGGATCCGTAGCAGCAGGGTCAACCTCGCCTGTGGAAGCAACGTGCAACAAACAGTACACTTGCTCAGGTCGATGAGTTCCAGACTGTGCTGAAATTGCTGTCATGAATGCAAACTGCAAGCAAGGGTTCCAGAAACAGTTGCCAAGCAAGGTTCCCAGGAACAGGTTCCCAAGCAACGTTCCCAGGAACAGGTTTCCAAGAAAAGGTTGCAAAAAAAGGTTTTCAAGAATAGGTTCGCAAGCAAGGGGTTTCCAGGCAAGGTTCCTGGGAACAGGTTTCCAAGCAAGGTTCGCAAGAACAGGCTCACAAGCAAGGGTTCCAAGAACAGTGCCTCAAGTTCCCAAGCAAGGGTTCCAAGAACAGGTTTCCTTGCAGGGTAGCAAGGTTACCAAGCAAGGTCCTTGGGAACAGGTTCCCAAGCAAGGTTTCCACGAACAGGCAAGCTTCGAAAGAACAGGTTCCCAAGCAAGGGTTCGAAGAACAGGTTCCCAAGAACAGGTTCGGGTTCCAAGAACAAATTCTCTAGGACCTCTAGGAAGGTTTCGAGCAAAAGGTTGCCAGCACAGTTCCCACGAACAGGTTCCCAAGCATGGTTTCAGGTTGCTCATGTTCCCAGGAACAGCTTTCCAAGAACAACTTGCAAAGCGAAATCTCGAAGAACATCTGCAAGCAAGGTTGGAAGCAAGAACAGAATCCCAAGTAAGGTTCCGAAGGACAGGTTCCTAAACAAGGTTTCCAAGCAAAGTTACGAAAAACAGGTTCCCGAGCAAGGTCCCAACGAACAGGTTTGAAGCAAGCAGGCAAAGTTTTCAAGGACAGGTTCCCAAGAGAGAGTTCCCAAGAACAGGTTACCAGGCAATGCTCCCAAGAGCAGGTTCCTAAGAACAGGGTCCCAAGAACAGGTTCCCAAGAACAGGTTCCCAAGCAAGGTTCCGATAAACAAGTTTCAAGCAACGTGTCCAAGAACAGTTGCCCAGGCAAGGTTCCAAGAACATTGAATAACAGAATATTGCAAAGTTTGAGGAATTGGTCTAATAACGGAACGGAGAGATTGAAGAACTAGTTTTTCTTCAAAAAATGATACGGCACTTGCGCACGGATAAAAATACTAGGCGACAGCGTGGCATGAAAGAAAGCAGGAGGGAGGAGACGAGAAGATAGCACACAAGAAAAAATGATGATGGTGATGATGATGACGACAATGATGATGGCGATGACGATGACGAGGATGAATGGCCATGGAGATGATGATGAATGATAGCTGACGCGAGTCAAATGTCATACATCCACGATTTCATGCCTTGTTTGTCCCCGCAGAGGGTTTGCGCCAGGGCTGGCACTTGAGCGACAGTCAGAATCTAAAGACATGTTGTTTTTACACAGCGAAAAAAATTACACAGAGAAGATTTTGCACACAGAAGCCGTTACACAGAGAGGGATTTACACAGAGCAGCTTTTACACAGACGCTTTTGCACACAGACGCTTTTACATGCAGAAGCTTTTGCACAGAAAAGCCTTGTCTAAAGAAGCCTTACTACATGAAGCCTTTACAGCACACAGACGCTTTTTCACAAAGACGGTTTTACACACAGGAACTTTAACGCGCAGATGCCCAAGCTTTTACACAGAGGAGCTTTTGCACACACTTGCTCAGAAACAGCTTATCGAATTACTGATGTGGAATGCATCGCACGTGCAAAAACACCTCAGTTAAACCTGACAGGAAATGGTGCATGACTAGGCTCGAGAAACAGTGTAGATGAAAACTTTCTACGTCCTTGCTAGATGCAACTGTTCCATCTGACGAAGTCGGTATAAGTTCAGGTTAAAACCTGAAAATTGAAAAACGACATGCCGGTTCTTGGCTTGGCCGGTCGCCATAAACAGTGGGCGAGACGGATAGAATCACCAAATGATGTGACCACCAGCTATGCAACAGCATCCAGGTGCATCACTATGGTTCCATTTTGTGGCGAGACGGATAGAATCGCCACGTGCAGGTACAAGATACCGCGTCCAGTATCTCATCCACCAAATGTCCACGGCTTCGTTGGCACGGCTAGGACAAATGGCGCCGTGCCCCCTGCATCTAAACAACTGAAACGACGGCAAAATTCCAAAAATAAAAGGAAACCATCCATGACAGTCAGTGCATGAGTTAGAAGTTTTACATCTTTTCAGATGTTCCACACACACGCCTCGCTGCCGCGAGGCTGTTTTTGGCGACTACGTAGTAGCTAGCGAAGCTCTTATCTAGTCCCTGAAACAGGATATAGCGATTGACGCAAAATCAAAATACAGGGAGGAAATCTGCAATTGAATTATCCGGTCACCGGTCTGCTCAGAACGACATCGGCAGGAAGTTCAGCTTACGTTAGTCATCGATTTCGGACAATTCTTCCATATTCTGGGCTTGCTGGGAAAGGACATGAGTCGTCAGAGCCAAATGGCTGGCAAGATGGGCCAAGTCTGTTGCCGTGAAGGCTTGGACCGGGTTGGTGCTCAAGTCATCTCCTGGATTTCAAGCTTCTCAAGGATCGCAGCATTGGAGTCTCTGTCATTGTTGAGGATGTCCCAGAGAACTGCGGCCAGCTGGTGAATCTGACTTGGAACCGATGCCGTGCCGACATTGGCTGTGAAGATCTGACATGGGTCGTTGGCCAAGTCGGATTGGTCCGTTTCAATCTTCTCAAGGATCGCTGCATTTGCTTCTCTGTCATTGCTGAGAATGTCATACAAGATGCCTGCCCATTGGTGGACGAACTGAGTGGCTGAGTACTGAGTGGCTGAGTAGCTGAATGGCTGAGTGGTTGAATGAGTGAGGGGTTGGGTGACTGAGTGAGCGACTGACTGAGTGGCTGAGTGACTGAGAGAGTGACTGAGTGGCTGAGTGGCTGAGTAGCTGAGTGGCTGAGTGGCTGAGTGGCTGAGTGAGTGAGTGGCTGAGTGGCTGAGTGGCTGAATAGCTGAGTGGCTGAGTGGCCGAGTGGCTGAGTGGCCGAGTGGCTGAGTGACTGAGTGGCTGAGTAGCTGAATGGGTGAGTGGCTAAGTGGCTGAGGCCGTAGTGGCTGAGTGGTTGAGTGGATAAGTGGCTGAGTGACTGAGTGACTGCGTAGCTGAGTGGCTGAGTGGCTGAGTGACTGAGTGACTGAGTGGCTGAGTGGCTGAGTGACTGAGTGACTGAGTAGCGGAGTGACTGAATGACTGAGTGACTGAGTGACTGAGTAGCTGAATGGGTGAGTGGCTGAGTGGCTGAGGCCTGAGTGGCTGAGTGGTCGAGTGGATAGGTGGCTAAATAACTGAATAACTGCGTAACTGAATGGCTGAGTGGCTAAGTGACTGAGTGACTGAGTGGCTGAGTGGCTGAGTGACTGAGTGACTGAGTGGCTGACTGAGTGGCTCATTCGCTGATTGACAGAGTGACTGAGTGGCTGAGTGGCAAAGCAGCTGAATGGCTGAATGACTGAGTGGCTGAGTGGCAAAGTGACTGAGTGACTGAGTGACTGCGTGGCTGAGTGGCTAAGTGACTGAGTAACTGAGTGACTGGGTGGCTGAGTGGCTGAGTGGCTAAGTGGCTGAGTGGCTTAGGGACTGAGTGACTGAGTGACTGAGTAGCTAAGTGGCTGAGGCTGAATGATTGCTGAGTGGATGAGTGGCTGAATGGCTTAGTGGCTGAGTGACTGAGTGGCTAAGTGGCTGAGTGGCTGAGTGGCTGAGTGGCTGAGTGGCTGAATGGCTGAGTGGCTGAGCAACTGGGTGGCAGTGACTGAGTGAGTGAGTGTCTGTGTGGCTGAGTGGCTGAGTGACTGAGTGGTTGAGTGGCTGAGTAGTAGTCGTAAGTTGTAGGTCGTAGGTCGTAGGCCGTAGGTCGTAGGTCGTAGGTCGTAGGCTGTAGGTCGTCGGTCGGAGGTCGTAGGTCATGGGTCGTAGGTCGTAGGTCGTAGGTGGTAGGTCGTTGGTCGTAGGTCGTAGGTCGTAGGTTGTAGGTCGTAACTTGTTGGCTGATGGACTGAGTGGCTGAGGGCTGAGAGGCTGAGTGGCTGAGTGACTGAGTGGTTGAGTGGTGGAGTGGCTG